GGAGGCGCTCATCAACTTCGCCGTTCTCCTCGCGCGGGTCGTCGGGAGGACGGAAGGGACAATCAAGCAGAAGTTCTTTGCGGTGCGCTACGCTCACCTGGTAGCTGGTTACTCGGACCCCCTGCTCCACAGAGGTCGCCTCTGGAGCACCCTGGCGGGGCTCAAACGCTGGCAAGGACCCGAGACCAAGCGGAAGAAGCCCGTCACCCCAGCCATGCTCGAGTGGCTCCGCGGCTTCCTCCAGCAAGAGGCCAAGCTCCCCGAGGAGGACACAGTGGTCATCTGGGCGGCGATCGTGACGGCGTTCTTCTTCCTCCTGCGGGCCTCAGAGTATTTCCTCCAGGACGGGCGCTCGTGGTCCTTCGAGCGCGTGCTGCACGGGGAGGACGTAGAGCCCAGAAAGGCCGGCAAACGCGTGCCCAGCTTCCAGGACGCCGACGAGATGGTGATCTACATCAAGGGCAGCAAGACGGACCAGCTCAACGTCGGGACGGTGAGGAACCACTACCGCGCCGGCACGACGCTCTTCCCGATCGCGGCGATGGAGCGGCTCCAGGCTCACCATCCCCAGCGGATAAAGGGCACCGAAGAACGGCTGCCCATTTTCCGCTGGGCGTCAGGTACCCCAACTCGCAGGGCCGAGGTGCAGCACTTCCTGACGGTCGCGGGGCTGGCCGCCGGGCTCTCCAGGGAGGAGATCGGCAGCCGCTCCTTGAGGATCGGCGGAGCGACCGCGATGTACCACGTGACCGAAGACCTCTCCCGGGTGCGCCGGTTCGGGCGCTGGCAGTCAGACGCGTTCCACGGCTACCTGTGGGAGTCGCACGAGCCGATGAAGGGCGTCTCCAGCAAGATGGCCAGGGACACCTCCTCGCTGACCAACCCGGCGAAGGACAGCGCCCCCGCCAGGGCCGCCGCCGGCGCCGAGGGCGCCAGGCGTGAGAGAGAGCCCATGACGAGGGGCCGCGGCGGGCGCCGCCGGTGCAGGTACACCTGGCGCGCGCCCAGCCCAAGCCGCCAGCCTAACCGCCGCGCGCTTGGAAGGCTGCAACTCAACGCCCGCGCCGCTGGCACACCAGCCGCGCGTCCGCAGGACATCCCCAGCCCGTGCTTCCAGCACTGGCCAATACTCTCGCGCTGTCAGGCGCGCGCGCGCTTGCCCGCTTCGGGCTCCACTAGTGCTTGGGATACTGGGGCGCCCTCTGCAATTGCCGAACTGGGGCCACGCTGGGCCCGCCTGGCGCGCCGGCTCCTCTCGTCGAGCCTGGTCGTGCTAGGCGCACTGCAGCCAGCGCAAGTCGCGGCAGCTGACGGCCTGACAGCCCAGCGTAGCCCGCGGCACCAGAATTCAAGCGCGGGGCACGGGCCCGCCCACCAGCGCTGGCCCAGGGAACCCCCTCTGTTAGGGGCCGGACCCTGCCCGCCCCGAACACCTAGGGCGGAGCGGGGAGCTGGGAGAACTGCGAGGCCGCAGCGCGCACGGCGGGCACCGTGGCGCCGGCGCCAGCCAGGCGCCACCCGCGGCGAGTTCGGGCCATGGCCCGAGGTCGGGCTCCGCCGGCAATCAGTGCGCCAGCATGAGCCCCGGCCTAACCTCACGGAGGACAGCCGTGCACGCCGGCATCAGCTGCCTGGCGGCGAGCGGCCAGCAGGAGGGCCAGTTAGGCCCCATGCGCGCGCCGGCGCTTGCGCCCGGCTGTGCGCAACCCAGAGGCTAGATGGTGCCGGCTGCACAGAGCCTGGCACCCAATTTTGACGGCGCCAACCACGGCGCCCGCACAGCAATGCCGACGTGCAAGGCCCGCCAGACCAGCGTGCAGCGTCATTGGCAGCGTACGCCAGCACCGCTAGAACAAAGGCGGCGAGGCCCGCTTCGCGCGGCGGAAGGAGGGGCCCGCCTGGCGCCGAGAGCGCCGGCGGGAGCGTGCGGCCAGCGCAGCAGCAAAAAAAGTGCCGCGCAGGCATCATCATCATCGTCTCCTGAGGGCCCGCTTCTGACCGCTTCGCGGCTGGCACGTCCCGCGGCCTTACAGCAGGCCGCGCTTTCGCTAGCGCCGTGCTGCGGGGGCGGGGTCTTAGTTGTTTGTCCTGAACGGTTGGACCCCGCCTTCCCCAGTCGGCTTGGGTTTCCTTTTTCTCCTTGCCCCTGCCTCTGCTTGCTCCTCTCTCTCCCTCTCTCCCGCTCAAGCCTTCGGGGCTCACAGCCCTCCCAGGGCCCCAACGGGCCCACTTTTGCCCGCCCACCCTGGGCTTTGCCTCGGCGTCTAAAGGCACCGCGGCGAGGCCCGCTTCGCGTGGCGGAAGGAGGGGCCCGCCTGGCGCCGAGAGCGCCGGCGGGAGCGTGCGGCCAGCGCAGCAGCAAAAAGAGTGCCGCGCAGGCATCATCATCATCGTCTCCTGAGGGCCCGCTTCTGACCGCTTCGCGGCTGGCACGTCCCGCGGCCCTGCAGCAGGCCGCGCTTTCGCTAGCGCCGCACTGCGGGGGCGGGGTCCCCAGAGACGGCACAGCCGCCCCGCCGGCGCACACCGACAAGGAGAATTCCTGGTCGGGCGCATCCAGCTCTGGGGCCCCATGGCGCCGAAGGCCGCGATGGGAAGGGCGGGGCCATCATGATAGCTCCTGGAGGGGGACTTCGCGGGGGAACAGGGAGAAAAGGACCGCCCCAAAAAGTGATGAGCAATACGCCGACAAGCGGCAGCGAGGATGGGAGCTCGCGCGCTGGCAGATTAGCAGAGGGCTTGGCAGGAGTCCCCCGACTAGGGGCGACGTCGGCTCTACCGAAGACGCCATGACGCACGGCGTCAGGTCGCCGGGACAACGCGTGAACTCCCCCAGAAAAGGAATCGCCTTACACGGGTACCGTGGGACCCCCCTAGGACGCCCCCACTTCAGACGAAGCCCTGCGGCCAGCCTAACCCTCCGTCACATTCTCCAGTTCCGCGGCTATCGGCTGCACTCCCCTTTCCTCGTCGCCACGTGCTGCCATCCGCGGCGATCGTCCGCTCGCTCCCCATCTCTTCACTCTGACCGCGGCTATCGGCTGCTTACCCCCCCGTTCTCGTCGCCGCAGGATGCAACTTCCGAAGAAGGATGAGTTGCCGTGGGCCCCTGGGCCACCGGGTCACTACCAGGCGGCCACTCCTGTCAATTGACAGCGACAGGTCTTGTTTCACCGATGCAGTGGGCCAATGGGGCGGACTGTTGTTACCTCTTGGGGTTGAGGTACCCCCCCTCCACCGAGATAGTTCCTGCGTTAGCGTGGGCCTTCAGCACGTTCGGCTGGCTGAAATAACCCCGTCGTCGGTTTGCCGCTACGTCGGCCCGTGTTCTTCCGAGACGGCTCGCTCAAGGCGCCTCGCCCTCTCTCGGCCTTCTACATTCCTTTGCCCGCGGCGTGCGCGGGCCGGGATGCACCGGACGCTGGCCTCGGCCATGTCTGGGCCCATCCTTTGGAGTCGGCAACACGCAGTGGCTCCCACGTGGTCGCCCCGGTGACGGCGGCTTCCGACCCCCCCGTGCACATGGGCGTGGTGACAGTACGGTCAGCCTTGTCGGCATTGGCAGATAAGGACGTCGGTCAGGCACCTTTCTGGCGCTCGTGTGAGACGTCGGATGCAGTCACAGGAGTGCCTTCGAGATGCGCAAACCGCACACCGCCTTGGTACCAGGGCCCTCGTGGGCGCTTCCGTTGTGGTCGACCTTTACCAGGCTTTGGCCCGCACTCCCCTAAGATGCGCGCACGCTGGCCGACGTTCCAAGTGAGTGAGTGGTCTTGGCCCCTTCCGCCTGGCAGTCGGGCTCTACCAGCGGGTCCAGCCTTTTTATGCTCCCCCCTTCCCTCGCTGGCACACGTTCAGCGGCCGGTTAGTGCCTTCATCGCTAGCAGATGTTCAGCGTTACTTTTGCTGCTGGCACACGCTCAGCTGCTTCTTGGCCGGCACGGTGCTGCGCCTTTAATTATATGTTTCCCGCGCGCTGTGCCCCAGCCTCGTTCTTACCGCCCTCTGGACTTTTCCTTGCGGGCCGCGAATCAAAAAAAACGCATCCCACCAGCCCGTCCAGAAATGATTCCCAGGGGAGTGGAGGTGATGAGGGAAGCGGGGGAGCATGCAGAAGAACAAAAGGCGGGGTAAGCCGCCATATACCCCAAGAGGGAGAGGATGTAGGAGGAGGAGTCGTCGTCGGAGTAGGAGGAGGAAGATGAGGAGCAGGAGGTGGAGCAGGAGGAGGAGGGGGAGGAGGAGGAGGAGGAAGATAAGGAGTAGGATATGGAGGAGGGCGAGGACGTGGAGGACGAGAAGGAGGAGAAGGAGAAGGAGGATGAGGAGGAAGAGGAGAGGGAGGGGGAGGAGGGAGGAGGAAGAAAAAGAGGAGGAGGAGGAGGAGGACAATGGCGAGCTTGGGGGCCTCTTGGGCCGTCTTTGGGGCCTCTTGGCGGTCCAGGGGCATCTTGCGTATCTCGGGGAGCCTCTTGGGGCCTCTTGGGGGTATCTTGGGAGCCTCTTGGAGGCCTCTTGGGCGCCTCTTGGGGCCTCTTGGGGCCCTCTTGGGGCGCTTTTGGGGCGCTCTTGGGCCTTTGGGGCGCTCTTGGGGCCATGTTGGAGGAGATCTATCAAAGAAGGGGGAGGTGTCAATTAGCGTTGCCCCTTCTAGAGTGCCTCGAATCGCCTCTTGGGCCCCAAAAGAGGCCAACATCCTTCCAAAACCTAGGGATATCAATTTTGTTTTGCTTTGTCGCCTTTTCGCTCTTGGGGCCGTCTTGGGCCATCTTGGACGCCCCAACGGCCCGCGGAACCTTCCGTCCAGGTCCAGGGGAGGGGGTAGGGAGAGGGGTAAACCCCTCCCCGGATGGGAAGAAGGGAGTTGGAAGAGGAAACTCTCTAGACCACCGACGCCCAGAGGGCTGGTGGGATTCACGCGGATCTCCGACAGCTCATGTTATCAGTGTGTTGTTTTACCTTTGTGACAGAGCGAAGATACTGTTGGCCGCAGCCCCGAGGGAGATCAGCCAGATCAACGCGCGGTATTACCCGATGGCGGTGGAGCACGTGTTCGTCGTGAACACGCCGCTGATGTTCGACCTGATCTGGAAGGTGGTGTCCAAGCTGGCCATGCCGTCGTCGGGGGGGCCTCGTGCACGTGCTGCGCAATGGATTGCACCTTAGACGGCCCAGATTCACCGATCTGGTCATGTCAGAAGAGGCCTCGCCCTCCAGGGATCGAAGGTGTTGCTATCATTTCCCCAGCGAAAGGCGCGGGGAGAGACGAAATGCGGCGGAAGTAACAGTTACCCTCCGAGATGACAACTTTGTTGGATGCAGGATTCCCAGAACCCGTCATGTGGGCCTTCTCCCCCTCCTCCCTCCTCCACCACCTCCTCCCCCTCCTCCGCCGTTCCCACAGCGGCTTGATGTTAGAAGACTAGCTGCTGAAGCCCCCAAATTCGTTGACCTTCTCTCCTCCCTCTCCCCTCGTCCTCGCACGCGCGGGAGGGAGGGGTGGAGGAGGAGGGAGGATTATAAGTGACTACTTACACGTTGCGGTAATGGGAGGAACGCTTTTGAGTTGCCTTACAACTTTAGGCCCGAGACCCTTGGAGATCCTGGCAAAGCTACTCTACCCGAGTGGGGGGGACCCAACGGGTTCACACAACGGTCTTATAAGTGGGGACATACCATAACGAACGCAACATATATAATACGTAGCACCCCGCAGTTGCGGTAATTAAGAGTAAGGGGGCGGTGGGGACGTCGGCAGTCGGCGAGGCTTTGAGGAAACCCCCCGCAGGCGCCGATTTTTTCGTTAAAGCAATGTGGGTCGCGGGTGGGTCGCAGGTGGATCGCGGGTGGGTTGCGGGTGGGTCGCGGGCGGGTCGCGGGGTGGGTCACGGGTGGGTTGTGGGTGGGTCGCGGGCTGGGTTGTGGGTGGGTCGCGGGCCGGGTCGAGAGGGGGACGATGGCATCAGGCAACAATTATTCCAGCAACATCATCAACGACCAAAAATAATACACCAACCAACAATAACAAAAGCAGCAGCAACAACAACACCAGCAACAGCATCAACGACGACAGCATTAACATACACCACCACCAACAACAAACACAACAACAGCAACAACACCAACAATATCAGCAGCAACCGCAACACAACAACAACACCAACAATGCGAACAATAGCACTAACAAAAGTGAACAAAGAAACAAACAATCAAGCTCAAAACAACAACAACAACAACAACAACAACAACAACAACAATCACTTTACCCGAACGCTCAGTGTTCTCACCAGTGCCAGGGTTTTCATGCGACGCCAGCCAATACCCCCACTTTGTGGGGGGGCAGTGCAAGCTCTACCAAATATCCACACGACTCTTCGCCACCACCCACACCCAGCTTCCCGCCCTATGACGTTCGGACACTTCACTTCGTGGCCTGCGGACGACCGTGGCTACTACACTGGCGTGGAGTACACACCCACAGAAGTTGTTAGGACAGCGCGCGCGGGTAGAAATTTTGAAAAGTCGTGCAGGTGTTTTTCGAGGACCTACGGTGCGATTCGTGTGATTTTATGATGCGCGGTGCTAAAATTCTTAAGAAGCCCAATGGTTTTTGGAGATTTCGGCGTGCGCGCGCGAAGAAAAAACGAATGTGTCCCGCATGGTATTATTTGACAGGGATGATGGCCCTGGCAGGTGCGCAACCGTTGTCGCAGAAGTTCGAAAAAGTTGCTCGCAAAAGCCCGTTTGACAGAAATGTTTAAAAAGTGTTGGGTTTCCTACGAATCCGCAAGAGCGCGCGGGATGAGATTTTGACATTTTTTTGTTGAAAAACCATTGGTTTTTTGATGTTTTTATGTTAAAATCGCTCCGAACACTAAGCTTTTGGAAGGATTTCGTCTTGCGCGCGCGAATGTCCACTTTACCTTATTTTTTGCAAGGGATTCTTGAAATTTGATTATATTAGAACAAGAAATGTCATTTTATAGTGTTTTTTGCAAGGGAAAACGGATTACAACAAAACAACCGGATCTTGATGACATCGTATTACCTGAGGCTTCCTCACGAAAATGATGAAAATGTAGCTGCGGCCTAGGCGGCGCAGGGGGGCCGTGCACCAGGGGCCCCAACAATAATTATTCTTTAGAATTAATAATGTTCAACAACAACAACAACAACAGCAAAAACTACACAACGTATGTTAAGACGGCTCGTGATTGTATGCTCGCGTGCCATTTCAACACGTATATCCCAAACCCTCGTTGCCCGCCCTCTTTGTCTTCGATCGTGCCCACTTGGGGGTATAGATTCTTTTTACCTACTACGTGCATGTAGTGCGGCCCCTCAGGCAGTAGAAGAGAGGACGGATGGAAGCTCGTGAGCGTAGCAGGAGGGGGGCTAGGAGCAGAAAACACGTGCCAAAACCAGACGGGCAGATCGGGCGGGTAGAGCCTAACGGGCGGGTCGGAAGGCGGGCCCAGGCGGCCAGGTCGAGAAGGCGGGTTGTTGAAGCGTGCGTCCTGCATGAATCGCAATGGCGTCTCGAGCGATAGCGCGCTTCCCAAGTAAATCGTGGGAATCCTGAATGTCGAGGGCGCGGCGTCTGAATGGGTTGCGGGGAAGTCCCAGACGAGAGCGCGATTCCTGCATACATTGTGGGGACGTCCCGCGCGAGAGCGCGATTTTGAGACGTTATTGTTGTAACTCGGGGGGCCAGGGGCCCAGTTTGGTGACATTCAGCTTTCCCTTATGAAAAAAAAAAAACAGGATGCGAGCCCCGGGAGAAACACATTCATCATTGTGAGGGGACCGAACGGTCAGTGAGGGGGCCGAACGGTCATTCGCTGTCCTTGGGCGCGTGGTTGAGGTGAGGTCCTGCGGTGCGGACTGTTGTCGTTGTTGTTGTGGTTGTTGTTATTATTAGTGTTGTTGTGTTTGTTGTTGTTGTTGTTGTTGATGTTGTTGTTGATGTTGTTGTTGCTGCTGTCGTTGTTGCTGTTGTTGCTGCTGTTGTTTGGTGTTTGGTGTTGTTAGTTGTTGTTTAGCGTTGCTCCTGTTGTTAAGGTTGTTGCTTTTGGTGCTGTACGCGGTGTGTTGTTATTGTTGTTGTCGTGTTCGTTGTTGTTGGTGTTCCTTGACGGTATTGTTGTTGGGATTGTTATTGTTGTTGGTGTTATTTTTGCTGCTGTTGTTATTGTTGGTGTTGCGGCTGTTTTTGTTGCTGTTGCTGTTGCTGTTGTTGTTGTTGTTGGGGACGACGGGTTTCAGACGCCCCCCGGGGGAGGGGGGGGCGCATTGCATCGCATCGGGGGAGTGCGCTGCACCTACGAGGTTCCTATGGGATCCCTGGCATTCCTGGATTCCGGGGGATCCGCCTGGAAAGGGGCGGCGAAGTCCCCGCGTCTTCCATCCCGAAGGACAGGAGACGGAAGGAAGGAAGGAACCCTCTCATCCTCGCCTTCCTTCTTGGAGAAGAGGGAATGGAAGCAATGTTCTCCTCCTTCCTGAGAAGAGTAGGAAAGTCACTTCCTCCTCGTCCTCCTCCTCCTCCTCCTCCTCCTCCTCTTCCTCCTCCTCCTCCTCCTTCTTCGCCTCCTCAGCCTCCTCTTACATGGCGGAAAGGGAAGGGAAGGAACCTCCTCTTCCTTCTTGAGGGCGCGACACGGGGCGGAACGGCCACCTCCTCCTTCCCGAGGGAGAAAAAAGGGATGGATCCTCCACATCCTCCCTCTTGCGGGAAAGGAGAGAACAAATACCTGTTCTTGCTTCTCCTCCTTTCCTTCCTGAGGAAGAGGGAATGAAAGGAACCGCCTACTGCCTCCTGAGGGAAGGCAAGTGACGGAACCCTCTTTTTCCTCCTCCTCCTCCTCCTCTGACGCCTCCTGCCCGAGGGAAAAGGGAAGGAAAGAACCTCCTCCTCCTTCCTGAGGGCGCGAGAAGGGGCGGAACCACCGCTTCTTCCCTCCTGAAGGAAAAGGGAACAAATGGAACCTCCATCTCCTCTTTGTGAGCGGAAGGATAGGGAAGGAACCTCCTCGTCATTCTCCTTCCTGAAAGAATAACGAAGGGAGGGACCTCCTTCTTCTTGCTGGAAAAGGGAAGCAAAGTTACTTCCGTCTCCTCTATGAAGTTTTGTCGCCGCCTCGTGAAAACTCTTGAAAGCGCAGACTCCCGTTGCGCCCCCGAAACCGTTGGTGGTGGTGTAGTGGTGTGTGGTGGTGGTGGTGGGTTGTGTTGCTGGTAGTGGTGGTGGTTGTGGCGGTGGTGGTGGTGGTGTGGTAGATTGTGGTGGTGGTGGTTTGTGGTGGTGGTGGTGGTGTTGGTGGTGGCTGTGTTGGTGGTGGTGGTGGTTGTGTGGTGTGTTGTGATTGGTGGTGGTGGTGGTGGTGGGTTGAGGTGGTGGTGGTGGTGTTGGTAGTGGTGGTGGCGGTGGTGCTGGTGGTGGTGTGGTGGTTTGTGGTGGTGGTGGTGATGGGCTGTGGTGTTGGTGGTGGTGGTGGTGGTGTTGCTGCTGGTAGTGGCGCTGGTGGTGGTGGTGGTGGTGGTGGTGGTGGTGGTGGTGGTGGTGGTGGGTGGTGGCTGGTGGTGGTTGTTGGTGGTGGTTGTTGTGGTGGTATTGTTTCGGTTTGTGGTGATGGTGGGTGGTGGTGCTGGTTGTGGTAGTGGCGGTGGTGGTGATGGTGGTGTGTGGTGGGTTGGTGGTGGTGGTGGTTGTGGTGGGTTGTGGTGGTGCTTGTGGTGGTGGCGTTTTTGGTGGTGGTGTTGTGGTTTGTGGTGATGGTAGTGGTGGTGGTGGTGGTGGTGGTGGGTTGTGGTGGTTGTGGTGGTGCTGGCGGTGGTGGTGGTGGTGTGGTGGTTTGTGGTGGTGGTGGTGTGGCCTTCGGCTCTTCCCGCCACCGTGTTTTGCCTCGCGTGGACCTTCCTCAGGTCCTCTCGGTGGCTTTTGGGGGGCGAGGGCTCGATATGGCGATTTGCTTGTTCCCTCTGCGGCCTCTGGGTTCTCTCTGGCAATCGTCGCTGCGTCCCCGCCGTCGGCGCTTCTGGCCGCCGCCAGGACCAGCGCCGACGCCGGCGCGGGGGGGGAGGGGGGGAGGGGGGGTTTGGACGGGGACCCCCACCACACCTCCCCCTGGCCTTCTTTGGTCATCGTCGCTGGCGTCCGCCGCCGTCTCGCTGCTGGCGCCGCCAGTGCGGGCGACGGCGCCGGCGGTCCGAGGGGGAGGGAGCTCGGTGGGGGGGGTTTAGGGGAAGGGGGGCCCCCCCCTGGTTCTGATCGACGGCGCCGAGTGTTGCAGGGGTGGGGGCCCACCCCCCGCTTCGAAACGCGCCGCCGAATGTTCCCAAGGCAAGCGCTCGTGAAACACGTTCTCTCTAATGGCGGGAGGTCATGAGAATTTGGGCATTTGGATCCTTGTCTGGGCCCCCATGCCACGAAGCGTGCGAGAGGTTGCAAACATGATGTACGGAAACTCGTGTTAATTTTTGAATTTGGGCCTGAGCTGGGATCCCCATGAGGCCACACAGCGTGCGAGGGGTGTGTCGAGATGAGTGGCGGGCACTCGTGGGAGTTTTGGCACTCGAGCTTAAACAGGGGCTCCCAAAAGAGACTTCGAAACGTGCGAGGGGTGTGCTGAAATGAGAGGCGGGAACTCATGTAAACTTTGGCGTTTGGGCTTTAGTTGGGGTTCCCTACGGGGTCACGAAACGTGCGATGGGGCGTACCAGAATAGAGGTGGGAACTCATGTGAATTTGGTACTTGGGGTCCGTTGGGCTTTTCTAGTGGGGCCACGAAGCGTGCGAGAGGTGGGCCGATGTGACAGGCAGGAATCCATGAGATGTTTGGTTATTGGGCCTTAGTTGGGGCTCCCCGTGGTGCCACGAAGCGCGTGATAGGTGCACCAAAGGAGGAGGAGGAGGAGGAGGAGGAGGAGGAGGTGGAGGAGGAGGAGGAGGAGGAGGGGGAGAGACAGGAGGAGAAGGAGGAGGAGGAGGAGGAGGGCGGAGGCTGGAGTTAGGAGGACGCGGGGCGCTATGAATTCAGTACGAAAACCCAACATCACAGGACGGTTGGGAAAAATTGTCAAAAAGATTTGGCGCCCACGGGGGCGGACAAATCGTGACCCCTGGTGCAATCACACAGGTGAGCAGAGTAACCCGAAAAATCTGACGCGCGGACAAATCGCGCCTTCCAGTGCACTCACAGAGATAGCAGAAGAAGATTGAAGAGTTTGCCGATATGAAGCGGGCAAACCGTGTTCCCATGGTGCACTCACAGAGGTTGCAGAAAAAGCTTCGAGCTTTTTCTTTGTCCGTGGTGATGTCCCGCGCCCTCCTTCTCCTTTTCCACTCGCCTATATCGCACGGTTTAGGTTTGCTTACAGCGAGTCGGAGCCACGATGAGGGTCGTGGACAAGGACACCTCCTCTTCAACAGGCTCGCGAGCCCCGCAGAGGCTTCCGAGCCCGTTGCGTTTTCTCCGGGGGGGCCGCAGCCGAAACGGGCCCCGCAACATGTTTCTGCGCTCCGGCCGTTTCGGCTTCAGCCGCTCGTTTCGGCTTCGGCACGTTTAGTCCCCGCGCGTTTCGTCCTTAACCGAGCGCGTTCCACTACTCGCAAAGTGCCTACTCGCAAACGTCCGAAGAGCACATGTCCGCTTTGATGCAATGTATCGTAGATCCTCCGCGGGGGATTCAGGTCATTTGCGAGTAGTCGCTTTGCGAGTAGTGGAACGCGCTCGTCTAGTCCTGGCCAATTTTGGCTTCGGCCCGTTTCGGCTCTTGTCCGTTTCATCCTGGCCCGTTTCGGCTCTGGCCCGTTTCGGCTTCGGGCCGTTTCAGCTTCAAGGTTCGCGCTTGCACCCAGGCCAGGAAGCCGCCGAAACGGGCTGAAGCCGAACCCAGCTCAAGCAGAAATGGGCCGGAGCCGAAACGCACCGAATGCGAAACGGGCGGAGCCAAGACGAGCCGAGCCGAAACGCGCCGAAGCCGAACGGGCCTGAGGCCGAGTCGGGCCCTTGTCTTAAGAGGGTTTCTCCTGCCCCGAGAGGACTACCGCTCGACCGCGCGCCGGCGGCCAGAATGGGTAAAGAAGGCTTCTCCTGCCCTCGGGGGCAGCGTCGGGAGGGAGAGGAGAGGCGCTGGGGGGTACGCATCGGCCCCCGATCGTCCGTCGACGAACGCGCTCGGAAACAGCGGACCTTCAGTCGCCCTGTCGTCCCCCCCGCCCTTGACGTTCCCTCCCGCCTCCCGGCCCGAGGGGACTACCGTCTGCTGGCCGACGAGTGCGGGCGCGGGTGCCTTCCCGAGCGGCTGGGCGGCCCAGGGCGCGCTGAGGCGTAGCGCGCGTGGCGCGGCCCAGCCGGTCGCGAGGGCGCGGCGCCGCGCGCGCGCGGGAAGCCTCCTTCGTCGTCCCCTGCCCCGCCTGGTGTATCTTATTTCGTCTCTTCCTTCGTCCTCCCTCCCTCCCTCCCTTCCTCCCTCCCTCCGCCCTTCGTCCTCCCTCCCTCCTCCAGTCCTCCCTCCCGCTCCGCCCTCCCTCCCTCCGTCCTCAGACCCCTCCCGTCTCAAGTCCCTCCTTGTTTGCCTCCCTCGCTCCTCACATGCCTCCATCCTTGCCTCCTCCTTCCGAGAATATCCCCATCCTCCTTCCCCCCCCCATTCAAACATTACCCTGCGACGTACCCAACCCACGTGCATCAAATGGCAAGAGGAGCATGCCAACATTAGCAGGAACAACGACAGTGTAGACGCGGCGATTTGCTGCGCAAGCTACATGGGGCGCGCATGCGTTGCACGATTCACAGGACGACAATCGAAAGAACGAGGCTTGAGGCCCCAGGATCGAAGAAGAACGGGTACGGGAACGAGGGGTAGGAGAGGGATGGAATGGAGGGCGGGGGGGGCGAAAGGCCATCGCGGAAGCAGCAGCATGCATGGAGAAGGTGAGGCGGGGAATAGGACGACGATGAAAGTGGCGGGAGGAGACAGAAGACTGCCGCGTTTTTCAAGTGCGAGCTAAACCCGCAGCGCTGCCTGCGCCATGTCGTCGCAGAGTTCCACATGATAAAACTTGTTTAGAGTGCAGGGAACGAGCGAGGCGTAGCTCGCCCGCTAGCTTCTCCGCCTCCTTCCCGCACATTTCAGCGCGGGAGCTGAACGCTCGCAGGCGCGCCGCCAGGTCTGCGGGCGGCCCGCGGGAAAGAAACTCAAGGCCGGGGTCGCGTATCATCAATCGGTTGTCCATCGCCCAAAGTTGCACTGGCGACGTACTGGTTGAACGCGGAGCGAGCAGCATCACGCGCGTGCCTGAACGCCACGCAGGCACAGTGCACGCGCGATTGGGGCTTCAGGTCGATCACGCGCGTCCCCACCAGGCTTGGCAACACCACGCGACTGAGGATCTCACTGCGGTCTGCCATGCTGCTGTCCGCGAATGCAATGCGCTGCCTGCAAGTAACTCGGCGGCGTCCACTTGTCTCAGAAGATGTTCCCGCGGGCCCGAAGGGCGACCGCCAGCTCGAGCCGCGGCGCCGGCAGGCCAGATAAGGATCATGCAACAGCAAAGACGATGACAGAGCAACGAGGTATTGGCGAGTGCATGACTGGCCTCCGTTTCCTGCACTTCTTTCCTGTAGTTCCCCTAGCTCATCGAGCTCAGCAGATGTTTCTGCGGGTCCGAAGGACGACCGCCAGCTCGAGTCGCAGCGCCACGTGGCACGAACCGCAGAGCAAGAGCACGCGAGCATTGCTCGTGGTCAGAATCTGAGTCCCCGTGGTGCCTCACTCCGCTGGCCACCCACCAGCAGCCCTCGAAAGTGGCGACAGTTTCACAGATCGCAGCCGCCCAGGGGTGGCGAGGTCTAATCTGAGTCCCCGTGGTGCCTCACTCCGCTGGACCCACCAGCAGCCTCGAAAGTGGCGACAGTTTCACACAGGGATGGCGAGGTCCAATCTGAGTCCCCGTGGTGCCTCACCCCGCTGGACCCACCAGCAACCCTCGAAAGTGGCGACAGTTTCACAGATCGCAGCCCCCCAGAGATGGCGTGGTCTAATCTGATTCCCGTGGTGCTCACTACGCTGGACCCACCAGCATACCCGCGAAAGTGCGACCCAGTGTTTCACAGTATCGCAGCCCCCCAGAGATGGCGAGGTCCTAATTGAATTCCCCGTGGTCGCCTCACTCCCCCCCTCCCCCCACTGGACCCACCAGCAACCCTCGAAAGTGGCGACAGTTTCACAGATCGCAGCCCCCCAGAGATGGCGAGGTATAATCTGAGTCCCCGTGGTGCCTCACTCCGCTGGACCCACCAGCAGCCCTCGAAAGTGGCGACAGTTTCACAGATCGCAGCCCCCCAGAGATGGCGAGGTCTAATCTGAGTCCCCGTGGTGCCTCACTCCGCTGGACCCACCAGCAGCCCTCGAAAGTGGTGACAGTTCCGCAGATCGCAGCCCGCCAGGGATGACGTGAAAAGGCAAGAGAAGAGAAGAGGAGGAGCGAAGAGAGGAGGAGAATGCAAGCAAGAGAGGAGAGGAGGAGGGAAGAGAGGGGGGGGGCGGGAGGAGGAGAACGGAGACCGCAGTGCTCGAGTCAAAACGAGTACCCAACGCAGGAGGGTTGGGAAAACATGATGGACCCACGAACCCGGAAAGGGATATAGACATGTGGAGCATGGACACGTTTTCACGATACCCAACTGGGCAACACCTCGCGAAACATCCCACGAGACACTTCACGAAACATCCCACGAGACACCTCACGAAACATTCCACGAGACACCTCACGAAACATTCCACGAGACACCCCGCGAAACATTCCACGAGACTCCCCACGAAACATTCCACGACGACAGGCAACCACTCAACCAAGGCGGTGTGGTCGTGCTGGGGAGTGGTCGTGCTGGGGTGTGGTCGTGCTGGGGGGTGGTCGTGCTGGGGGGTGGTCGTGCTGGGGAGGTGGTCGTGCTGGGGTGTGGTCGTGCTGGGGCGTGGTCGTGCTGGGGCGTGGTCGTGCTGGGGCGTGGTCGTGCTGGGGGTGTGGTCGTGCTTTTGTGGTGATGTCGTGCTGGGGTTGTGGTGTGCTGGGGTTGTGGTCTTTGGCTGAGGTGGGGTCGTGCTGGGGTGGGGTCCTGCTTGGGCGTGTGGTCGTTGCTGAGGGTTGTGGTCGTGTTGGGGGTGGGTCGTGCTGGGGGTCTGTGGTCGTGTTGGGGTGTGTGGTCGTTCTGGGGTTGTGGTCGTGCTGGGGTGTCTTTGTGGTTCGTGCTAGAGGTGGGGTCGTGCTGGGGTGGAGTGTGCTGGGGTGGGGTTCGGGCTTGGGGTGTGGTCGTGCTGGTGTTGTGGTCGTGCTGGGGCGTGGTCGGCTGGGGTGGGGTCGTGCTGGGGTGGGGTTTCTGTTGCTTGGGGTGTGGTCGTTGCTGGGGTGTCCGCACCGTGTGATTATCGATTGGAGATTTCAAAAAACAAAGCATTTGCCTGAGACATCCTCAAATTTTAATCCGCCGGCCTCCTTCGACCTCGATATTTATCAGGGAAAGAATCCGCCGGCCTCCTTCAAGTTGGGCACCGGGGACATGTTTACATACTAAAAGAGAACCCTGGGCCTATGCCCTTTCCGGGAAAAAGCGAGGGAGAAACATGATCGACCCACGAACCCGGAAAGGAATATAGAACTGTAACACATGGCAGCGTTTTCAAAGACATCTGGTTGGGTGACGGGCAAATGCAATTCTGAAGGTATCGATCTTGATGTACCCTGCCGAGGGCTGTGCTGTGCTGCACCGTGCTGAATTGCGATGTGCCATGGCGCGATTTTGCTCTATAGCCTCGTGGATCGAGTCATCCTGTGCATCCGAGTCCTGACCGAACTGATCTGGATCTTAAGCTCGAGCTGCCTGAACACATAGTAGCTGCCCCAGAGCTAAATGACAGGGGAACATGCAAGGAGGACACGCCGCGAAACGTCCAAAGGGATGCGCCAGGCGACGTGCCAGGGGACGTGCCATGGGGTCGCACCGCGGGACGTGCCAAAAGGACGCGCTACGGAACGGGCCAATGGATGTGCCACGGGATGTGCCAGGGGACGCGCTAAGCGACGTGCCAAGGGGGCTCGCCACGGGACGCGCCACGGAACGTGCCAAGGAACGTGCCAGGTTGCAATGCTGATTGTATCGATCTTGATGTACCCTGCCGAGGGCTGTGCTGTGCTGCACCGTGCTGAACTGCGATGTTGCTCTATAGCCTCGTGGATCGAGTTCTCCTTTGCATCCGAGTCCTGACCGAACTGATCTGGATCTTAAGCTCGAGCTGCCTGAACACATAGTAGCTGCCCCAGAGCTAATTGACAGGGGGACATGCCAGGAGGTCGCGCCGCGGAACGTCTCAAGGGACGCGCCAAGCGACGTGCCAAGGGACGTGCCATGGGGTCGCACCGCGGGACGTGCCAAGGGGACGCGCTACGGAACGTGCTGGGGAAAAGCGTTTCGCTCGAGAGATCCAGTCAAAATCCAAGGAAATCCGGGCAAAACAAACGAAGTAGTCAAGACATCCTCAAAATTCCTGCGCGCGGGACGCGGCACGCGCGAGACATCCTCGGAATTCCTGCGAGCGGGACGTGAAAACAAGCATTTTGCTCCAGACATCCTCTGAATTCCGGACCCCTACGAGGCCCCCGCTCGAGACATCCCCCAAGTTTGCAAAACCAGTGTTTCGCTCGAGACATCCTCAACAAATTATGAACAGTTTGCAAAAACAGCGTTTCGCTCGAAACGTCTTCAACAAATTAGGAACGAAAAGCATTTCGCTCGAGACATCCTGCCAAAATTCAAAGAAATCCAGCAAAACAAACGAATTAGTCGAGACATCCTCGAAATTCCTGCGCGCGGGACGCCGCACGCGCGAAACATAATCGGAATTCCTGCGCGCGGGACGCTTTTCCGCGTCGCCGTCGGCTCTGCAAAACCAGTGTTTCGCTCGAGACATCCTCAACAAATTCTGAAAACAAGTGTTTCGCTCGAGACATCCCCAACTCTGCAAAACCAGCGTTTCGCTAGGGACATCCTCAAAAATTACATTACACCCGCGCTCCCAGGGCCACGATCCCTCGTAAATTACGCTACGTCAGCGTTCCCAGGGCCACGATCCCTCGTAAGGGCTCCTGGGCCCTCCTGGGTCTTCCTTGGACCTCTTGGGCCCTCCTGGGCTCTCCTGGAGCCTCCTGGAGCTTCTCCTGGGCCCTCCTTGGGCCCCCAGGTGCCTCTTGGAGCCTCCTGGGTCCTCCTGGGCCCTCCTGGGCTCTCCTGGGCCCTCCTGGGCTCTCCTGGAGCCTCCTGGGCCCTCCTGGGCGAAGTCAAGGTCCGAAAACACATGGGACTTGCCACATTTCTGAAATTCGGTGCCACCCCTCACGCAGGTCGGCGGGGTCTGGATCCGAAAACGCAGGGGATTTGCAACATTTCTGGAATTCCGTGCCACCCCTCACGCAGATCGGCGGGGTCAGGGTCCAAAAACACAAG